CTCATGCTAACGTTCCCACACAGCTCCTCATGCTAACGTTCCCACACGGCTCCTCATACTAACGTTCCCACACAGCTCCTCATGCTAACGTTCCCACACAGCTCCTCATGCTAACGTTTCACAGCATCCCTGTGAAGGAAACTCTGCATTAAGCTCTGGAATTCACCTTCAAACTAAGCTAAATATCTACTTTTGTGTCTTTTTTTGCCTGTTTGGACGCCACGTTTGGAGCTGTTAGCCCAACTCTTTAGTCAGAAACCTAAGAATAAACCAGAGTAGACAAAGAGTAATAGCAGTCCTCCCATCTTCACATGGAGAAATGAACTTAATTTATGTTTTTTTCCTATTTCGTAGAATTGCAAACCCACACTGGGTGTTTGCAGGTAAGTCTTGAGTACAGAAAATTATAATTATTATCATTGAGTCCAGAAAATGAACTATTTTCACCTTCTGGGCCACAAAGAAACAAGGAACCAGATCGTGGACCCAGACCTGGAATACAGGAAGCTAAAGGGAAGGAATCTTTAAGACAGATGCACACAGACTGTGCATTTTTTAGCTTTGTCTGCTAATGGCTCTGTGATGTGAATCAGGTGTGTTGAAACAGGGAAACCTCCTAAACAACCAGAGACTTTAACACAAAATATAGTTATAAAAGAAATATAGTTATGAAAGAAACAGCCAGAGACTTCAACACAAAACATAGTTATAAAAGAAAATAAAACAATCAGTAATTTACATAGATCATGCTATGCTAAAGTGAGTAATTTTAGCCAAACTCTAACAGAAGTGTGCAAGTAGGTGGATGCACACAGGCTGGGCATCTGCCTTAAGGATCCTCAGGTACTGCAGGCGTAGTGGGACGGTGCTGTGGAGACTGGACCCCTGCAGGTCCACGGAAAGCCAAACCCAGAGGGACATGGATGCTTTACAGGTGTGCCGGCGGGAGCATTTCCTGACTCCATCCCAGACTTCCTGGAACCTGCTGAGCCCCAAAAAACACAGAACAGAACCAAACACCAGAAACACACATTCACAGAAACAGAAACACCGGTGGGTCCAATCCTTGGCTGTGTCTCATTCCACCTGCTTGCACACATCTGTTAGAATTTGGCTAAAATGACTCACGTTAGCATAGTATGCTATCACATGATCTATGTAGATTACTGATTGTTTTATTTTCTTTTATAACTATATTTTGTGTTAAATTCTCTGGCTGTTTAGGAGGTTTCTATGTTTCAACACACCTGATTCACATCACAGAGCCATTAGCAAAGCTAAATAATGTCCAAATTTTGGCAATAATTACTCACGTTAGCATAGTATGCTATCACATGATCTATGTCGATTACTGATTGTTTTATTTTCTATTATAACTATATTTTGTGTTGAAGTCTCTGTCTGTGTCCACAGACTCTCTTTTCTCTCTTTTCTTTCTCCGTTGCATTAGATACTGGTCTTTAAGTCAAGAAAATGTTGGAGACTGTTAGCATGTGGCTATAATTACTCACTTTAGCATAGCATGCTATCACATGATCTATGTAAATCACTGATTGTTTTATTTTCTTTTATAACTAAAAATCTGTTGCATTAGATACACGTCTTTAAGTCAACACACACACACACACACACACACACACACACACACACACACAC